GTTACGTTGGAGCTGGGGAGCAGAATAGAATCAAGAAAGAAATAAGGGAGAACGAGAAAGACTTACTTTACGCTCCACGGTGGACTGAGAGAAACAAGGTGAGGGAAAAAAAGCGGATAAAATAAAGAGAACAGAAGAAACAAGGTCGTTTTGAGGATAGTGTACTCACTCACACCCTACGGGCGAACTAATGGAAATAAGTTTTCCACCCTCTTGTTCTACGCTGAGATATGTGAGTGTTGGGAGTTGACTGCTAGCTGCGAGAGCCCGACGCAGATATAGGGTGTGGAAGAAAAGATAAAGACTAGAAATCGGATATTGGACTCTTTACTTATACTGCTTTTGCCCACGGGAAAGACAAATTCACCATGCTATGCCCGAGCTCTCAAACGAATTACTAGATAAACATGCCTATCTCTGATTTTAAAGTCTGCCCACATTAGCACTCTTTTTTTATTTATTTTTACGTGAAAATTTATAAAAGTGTGAAACTTAGATTTTTTATCTCGCGAATTTTCAGGCTAGTATGATAATTTATGCAAAACAATGAAAGCTCCAAAAAGAAGCAAGTTTAAGAACGTTGAAAAGTTCAACAATGAATTCTAACAATCTACCAAAAAAATTGCCAAAAGAGAGACAAAAGTTTTATGAGTAATTTAAAATTTCATTAAAATTTTTTTTTTATTACTGTCAATTCATTGACTTTTTATAAACCGGATACTTTTTACGTGAATGAAATCCAAACTTAAGGTAGTTTACTATTCGCATAAGATGTAAAAAATAAATTAACTACAAATCCCCACCCATGACAGTATGTATAAATATAATATTGTGCAGACAGTAAATTCGAATGATCTAACTGGTATATAGTTGTCTCTATCTATTGTCTACTCGGCTCGTGTTAGCGAAACATGACAATAATACGATATGAGTCTACAAGCCCACAAAATATAATGTAACGCGCCCCGACAGCGCTCCCTCAAATCGTTTCTCGTTCAACTTGTATTCCTGTTGAACACTACTATACGTACAAATACACAGAGATATTGGGTGTGTTGGTTTTTGTATGTGTTAAGCTTGAAGGGGAGAACCGGCCACGACTTTACTTTATATATGTATATACCAGAGTGTAATAATAGTGAGAGAGAAGCATTGAAAAGACAGAGCACGCATGAGAACAACTGGAAACGATTGTTCGATCAGTTTAATTGAATGGAAAGAGATAGAGGCTTATAGTGCAGACGTCTATCATGGACACTGCACAGGTACTAATAGCACTTTTTTATAAAATATTATTCTTAAACCCATTTAAACTCCGCACTACTTTTTATGTTATTTTATTTTATATGTAATTCACTTGTACTATTATTTTATTATTACAATTACAGGAAATGTGTTTGTTGAGTTGAGTTTACTTTTTAAAAATAGTCGGTGAAGAAAATAATAATTTTAATAGAGAGAAACGAAAGTATTTTTTCACACGCCGGAAGTTCTTTTGATAAAAAACGGAAAGAAAATAATAATTGTAGATAAAAAATAATGACCAAAGCTTAGCCGGAGAGGAGAGAAATTTTTTTTGAGTAATTTGCAATGACTTTGATGTTTCAGCAATTAGTTTGCGCAATTATTCAACCAAGATATAATAATATATAAAATTATTATATTATAAATGTGTGTACTGTGGATGGATTAAAGAGTGTCCTCTTTAGCACTTTGTCTCTTTAGAAACTCGCTGGCATGTCTCGTAATTCATTTATTGATAGACAATACAAGCCACCTGCTGCAAGTAATTACAGAGAATTTAAAACGACAGCCGAACAATACGCAATTTTGTAAACCTCGTTTTACATTTATTGTATGGTTTCCAGTTCCGAGTTTAGTTTAGTTGAGGTTGAAACAATGCCCAGATACTAAATAATTACACTGGTCATTATTCCGAATAAAAATAAACTGACTAATAAATTCATCTTGTCAGCGGAAAAAAATATTTGTGTAAATAGTATTTTAATTTAAATTAATAAATTATTTATTTATTTCTTGGAACTGGAAATGAAAACTCTGGCATCGTTAATGACCTAGAAGCTATGGAGATATCAGAATTTTTTATTTTAAATCTAGAAATTTTAATAGATAAGGATTTTGGAGCCCAGCGGAGTTTGGAAGCTGTATATTAGATTGGATGTTACGAGGAAGACTCCGAATCAGTGGTAGTGTTAGTTTTGGTATTAGTATTAATAATATATGTAAGAGCAGAGCACAAGTAGCAATAGCAAGGTCGGCGCCAGAGTTTCAAACCAGCATCAGTGTATAAAGTTATATATATAGAATATAATATAATGGGTTCCATAAGCGTTACTAATTCAATTCCGCAATCGCTATTCACTATTCTCGATTAAATTTCTATTCCACTTTACTTTCGCTTCATTAGTTTATACATTTACGAATAAAATTATCCTCGAGTTATTGTACAATAACTTTAACCTCAAGAATAATAATAATAATATTAATAATAGTGTGTATTATTAATTATCAGTATTATGGTTTTCGTCTACTATAATTTATTGGTATTTTTAACGAGCAATAAAGATTTATTATTCCATTTATTAACCGTCGGTACGGTGTGAAATTTTTTTTATTATTAAATTGTATTAAAAAAAATTTTCTAGACTTTGAATAAATTTATTCAAATAAAATATTTAAAAAAATTGAATAAATAGAAAAAAACGTTTCTGGAAAATTTCTTGTTAAAAAATAGCAACTATCAAAAATTTATGAGCTGGAAATGAAAAAAGAGACTTATGATTCAAAAATCCTGATACCAGAGCACAAAATTTTTGAAAAATAATTCTCATTTGCGTTACGTTGGTATGGATTAAAAATAAACGTTGATGTAAATGTAGATGTAAATGTAGATAGACGTGGATGTGTAAGTGGGTACATGCGAGAGCGTTAACGACCGTGCGGTAGACCCATGTCGAGCTGAGCTTAATCTTACTCAAAGTAATAAAGTGGAATCCGAGATGGCTCACCGATTCTAACGTACGAGCGGAGGGTCGTAAATTCGCTGCCCTCGTCTTTCTCTACTCATACCGACTCCACTCGAAGTACATCCATCCTGAGTAGAGATCCACCGTAGAACAACTGCCCGGCTTACCCCATTCACTCTCATCCTCTGGTTGGTAAAGGGCCACCCTTTACCAATTCCCCTTTCCTGGGCTTTTGGCTGACAACCAGGAAAACGTTTCGAATAACAAGGATTACAATCAGGAAACAATCCTCACTCTCGGCTCGCTCAAAATATTCTATCATCATTTCAGTGACCACCAGCTCCTATTCACCCTACCAACAATGCCTAATACCCACTAACCACAATATATATACATATACCCATATAATATATCATACATTAATAGCTTACGCTTTGTCATAATTACAGTAGTTTGGACATTGTTTGTTAAATCTGTTTGTACTCACCAGTGATGCCTTGTCACACACACTCCTGATAAACTGATGCCATTATTTACTCGCCGGAAGTTGCTGGTTACTGGACACCTGTCATTTCAAAAAAATAATATATTTTCAATTAATTTTATAAATCGACGTTCTAATAAACAAGCATATTGTCTAACTCCATTTTAGAAAATCTTCTATTTGTACACTGAGAAAAAAAAAATACTTTTACTCAATTAACAATTTCTTGGTTCAAGAAACTCGTTGACGATCAAATATTCTATTATTATTAATTATTAATTTCTGAAGAGAAGAACATCAATATTTATCTTTGGATAATAGATAAACAAAAGAATAGCTTTATTTAAATTAAGTAAAAATTATTTTAATCAATTTAACAATTTCTTGAACTAAGAATATATATTCTTGAAAATTTTCAAAAACATAAATTCTTGTGTCAAGAAAATTTTCTTAATAAAAGTATTTTTTTTCTCAGTGTACGAAAAAACAATTAGTTCAAAATTTATTATCACTTTAAACAAAAATTTAAAATCTAATAGAGGTATAATATTTTGGTTTGGATCATTCAAATAATTTATAATTAGACTATTGGCTACATCAAAATGTTAAAAAATCACACTCCAAAAAATAAGGAGTTAGAACAATTGCTAATTAGACCGTCGAAATTACATTTTTTTATGACATTGAAGTTAGCAGTCGCTTGAGAATTTTTTAATTTTTTTTTTTAATAAATAAATTAGCTCCGAAAAATTATTTCTAAAAAATTGGATTTTTTATTTTTTTAATTTTCTAAATGTCAATTTTTTTTCTCATTTTCTTTGACATAATTTATTTGTTAAAAAAATTATAAAATATCTGCTAAATTAATTTTCATTTTTTTTTTCCACAAACTTTTTCGTATTGAAATAAATGGATTTTTTAAAAATAAATATAATTTAAAAATTTAATGCGTCATCAAAAAAATATTTATCTAACTCGAGAAAATTAAGAATATTATAATTTTTTTATATTATTAATATAAAAAAAAAAAATACTTGCAATGAGTCTTACAATTTTTCAAGTTTAAAATGTCAGCTTATTAGACAGTAGTCATTGTTGAATCTCTTTGCCGTTAATTCTTAGAAATTCAATCATTAAATCAACGGTCCATCCAAAATAATTACGCTGTTCATCATTTATACTTACCGGGCTCATTTCAAGCACGTTTAATGACTTGAAATACTAAAAAAACTCAAACGAATTACAACAAATACATTTAAACTTCTCTTGCGATGTTCACCGTTGCGTGAAACGAGACCAACTGACGCCATCTTGTAGTGCGCATCAGCAACATTTAAAATTTTTCCTATTGCGCATGTCCCTACTTTACCCACCGTACGCAATATACTGACAAGTTTTATTTTTATTTTAATTTATTTCCAAGGATTTATGTTTTATATTTTTAAAAAAATTTATTTTTTTTTATAATTTTTTTTTCAATTACAATTTTATGAAATAAAATAATTAATTAAACAAAAAAAGTTGCTGAGTTGTACGATGTACTATTTCCGCCCAGTTGCGCGTTGCGCAGAACACTGTCCGCCATTTGTCAGACCATCTCTTTTACACAAAATTTCTTGTGGTGAGTACGTCGTACACAAAATTATTCATTTATTTCTTAAAGTAATTAAAAAACGGTAATGAAAAAATTACTAAAAAACGTGAAATATTTTTTTTTATAAATTGTGATAATATGAATGAATGTGCGGTGCGAAAAAATGCCGGTTAAATTAAAATTACGTGAATGTTGATGACTGACCATGTGGCTGCATGGTTATATGTGCCTCGGCTTACTGGAATGTTAGGTTATAGTGCATCAATGATGAATATATTATATTAATAAGCTCATATTTTTCAGATGACCATGGAGGTAGAACAGTACGAAGACGTAGTGCTCTCCACGGTTGGAGCTGAAACCGTAACTGTTGCTCCATCCGCAGAATTGCCGGAAATTAAACTTTTCGGCCGCTGGAACTGCGATGACGTCCAAGTGAGTGACCTGTCTCTGCAGGATTACATCGCTGTCAAGGAAAAGAACGCTAAGTACTTGCCCCATTCGTCAGGACGTTATGCTGCTAAACGTTTCCGCAAGGCCCAATGCCCAATTGTTGAACGATTGACCAACTCTTTGATGATGCACGGTCGCAACAATGGAAAAAAATTGTTGGCTGTGAGAATCGTCAAGCACGCTTTTGAGATCATTCATCTTCTTACTGGTGAAAATCCTCTTCAGGTAAGAGATAAATTTATTTATTTATTTTCATAGTACGGAGTAAATATTAGGATAATTTATTTATTTAAATAAAACACTTGGTTGTTGAATAATTGCAAAAAATATTCACAAATTTTATTTCTAATAATTATATTTTTTAAAATTTAATTGAAACATAATTTAAAAACAAAAATTCTTCATTTTAAAAATGTCAATTAAAAAAAAAATTATGTAAACAATATTTGAAAAAATTGTCCATGTAGATATTTAAAAATTCTAATTTAACAATTTTTTGGCTTTTAAATTTTTTTAATAATTTATTTTTAGTAAAAAAAAAAAAGTAAACATCTTTTTAAATGTAATTAGAAAAACAACTAAAGTTTGATTTTTTTTTTTTTAATTAATATTTAAAGCAAAAAGAAAATGAATTCAGATTACTTGGATTTATTTACTTTCTAAGTTTTTTTTTTATACTTAGAATATTTTAATAAAAAATAAAAATCTTCTAATATTTCGTTATGATAATTATTTAGAAAAAAATTTATTAATTGATTGTATTGTTTTTTAGGTGTTGGTAACAGCTATCATCAACTCTGGACCACGTGAAGACTCAACCCGTATCGGACGTGCTGGTACCGTTCGTCGTCAAGCCGTTGATGTGTCACCACTTCGTCGTGTGAACCAAGCCATCTGGCTGCTCTGCACTGGAGCCCGTGAGGCTTCATTCAGAAACATTAAGTCCATCGCCGAGAGTCTCGCTGACGAGCTCATCAATGCCGCCAAGGGCTCCTCGAACTCGTACGCCATCAAGAAGAAAGACGAGCTCGAACGTGTTGCTAAATCCAACCGATAAGTCTTTTTCATTGTAACAATATCAATAAAAAATTTAATGTCTTTACACAAAATGAATAAATAATTAGTAATCTTATTATTTTTTCCCTATTTCTTTTTTTTTTTTAATTAAATTTGACTTTTTTTTTAACTATTTTTAATAACAATAAACACCGCAGTTGGTAAGAAGGAAGCTATCTTAATGAAAATAGAGTTAGCGGACATTTCAAAATTTTTAGAGATTTTTTATTGAAAAAGTTTCAATCAAATGATTAAAAAAAAAAAATTTCACTTATAAAAAACTTGAAAAACTATAAGTGTAATTTTTTAAAAATATTTTTTTAGTTGTAATTTAATTAATAAAAAAAATCAAAAATTCTTAGACGTCTGCTACTTTCAGTGCCATGCTATCTCATCTTTAAATTTGCGCATGCGTAACAGATGGTTGATCGTCGGGTTAACAGTATTTATAACTTTCGCTATTGATGACATTTTTTTCAATTAATAATGGCTGGTAATTTGAAAAAGGTAATTAATTAAATATAGAGTTTTATTAAATAAATAATTTTATTATTATTTATAATAATTAACACTAAAAATAATGCGAAGTGAGCCATTTTGTTTTTTTTTTAATTTTATTTTAAAACACCTGCACTGCGCATGCGCAATCAGAGTTTATCATTGGTCGCCGTTGCGTTCATAATTCGTAGCTCGTGCTTCTATTTACAGTTTATTGAATTAATAATGGCTGGTAATTTGAAAAAGGTGATTAATCCGACAAATAAAATTAATAGAGTCTTATTGAACTTATAATTTTATTGAAAATATGTTATGATTGTTTGTTTTGATTACACAACTGTCTCTAACCTAACTTTTGATTTTACTGAAATCAAAAGACATTTGTTGACAATTTTTTGGTTTTGTTTCACAAATAAATTAATGCAATCAAAATATAAAAAAAAAATTAATTCATAATTTTTATCTTCATGAAAAATTATTTATTTTAAATTTTACTTGCCTTAAATAATATTCTTGTCAAAAAAAAAATAAAAAATTTCTGTAGATGTCATTATCACAACTTGTGTCATAATTGTTGACCAAAATAATGAAATAACTTAATATTTTCAGACGACTTTTTTAAAAGGACTAGAAGTTGCGAAACAACCTCACCATTCTTTGACAAATATTTACACAAGAATCCTGCGAGTGCTTGCTAAATTTCCCACTACATCAGCATACCGTACAAGTACCGAGCAAATTGTCAAAGAACGTGCTGAAATGGTTAAAAACGTACGTAATCATTAATTTATTTAAAATGTCGAAATAATCATCATGTTTATTATTATTATTATTATTATTATTATTATTATTATTATTATCATGATTATCATCAGTGTAGTAATACAAGTAACGGTAATTTTAATTAAGTATCTAATTAAAATGTAACAGACCCCAGACGTAGAGACCCTGGAGAAGAAAATAGGCTGTGGTCAAGTAGAAGAATTAATAGTACAAGCTGAAAATGAATTGCTGTTGGCTCGTAAAATGGCCGTATGGAAGCCCTGGGAGTCTTTGGCTGAACCAATACCTAAGGATCAGTGGACTTGGCCACCTCACAAGTAATTTCCTTATTTTCATACATACATTTAGTACTCATGTATTTAATCTAGGTTGTTATAAATAATAATAATTATAATAATATCATTAAAAATAATTATTTAATTGAATGTAAATATATACACAAGTAAACATTATGTATTACTATGTCAGCAAGTTATTGTATGAACTGGAGATCCCTTGAATGATTTGAATGGAATGTTCTAGGTTGAAGAGTTGAGTGTGAAAAAAAATAAAGAGATCAATGAACGAGTAATTAAAAAATGAGTAAATTTGCCGGAGTGCTGGCAAGTTGGGATGATTGAAGAAAAACAGCATTGCCAAGAAGATGTTAGTCTAAGAGCTCGATTATTGCTGGTAATATAATCTAGTATGCGCTATTACAGACATATACACTACATACACCTACAGTATGAAGTCTTAGGTCTGTTGATATGATATGTAATGATACGAGTTGGTATTGATGGTAAGAAGTAAATTAGTGTGTGTTTATGTTGTATGTGTGCAGAGCTAAGCGGAGCTTGAGGGGGATAGGAGCGGCGAGGAAGCGGACGGAGTAGAGCACCAGCTATACTACTATCCAGTACAGATCCAGGTAAGCAGTGAGCTCTGAGCGAAAGGTGATAGAGGGGATAGAGAGAAAGAAAGAGGAAGAGAGATTGCAAGTAATAAGAATGGAAGGAGTAAAGAGACTGTTCTGTCGGTCGAAACTGGGAACTCGTAGCTCCGAATCAGATGTCTTAGAGTAGAGCTCTTAGAGAACGCTCGGGAGCCGCACTTGCCTCCGAGACATCGTCGACGCTATATCGCGCGCGTGTTTCTCGTCGAGGATGTAAACAAAGTTACGATCGTAAGTTCATGTTCACGCATGTTTTCATTCTCTCTCTCTTGCTCGCTCATTCTAAGTCGCTTGTCGTCTTTCGCGGCTCTTTCATTATACGTCTTGTTACACCAGAGTTAAATAACAGTTTATTGTTTTTTCGGATAAATAATTCAAGGAGTGTTTGTTGATTAAAAATAATAAAAATAATAATAATAATAATTATTACAACGACGACACCATCAGTAGTTGTGCTAATAGTTGAGCTATTATTTAGCTCGAGCAAGTTGCTACCGTGACTGCTACTGTTACCGATCCCAAGGAGGACATCAAGAACCTAACCGGGAAAACAGTTGGTCACGTCCGCGGGTCACTTAAGTACACGAGTATCCGAGTTAACTATTACAACAGGTCCTTTGTGAAACCCAGTTATTGTTATATTTATTTTCATTTGCAATAACTACTGGAGTAATCGCGGTACGTGTTATTGTTACTGTTGTGGAACGGTTTTGAACAGTGAATAGTATTGTTTTTGTTTGTTGTTGTTGTTATTTATTATTATTATTATTATTATTATTATTATTATTATTATTATTACTTAAGTTATTATTGTTGTTATTGAAATTGGAATTGGAATAGTAATTGGAATTGGAATCTTTGTTCCTTTGGAATCACCAGCAGCCAGTTGCAGTAGCAATAGCTCCAGTACACCGTGGTGGACCTTTTACTGTCGAGAGCCAGAGCCTGGGTACAGTGAACCCCTTGCCCGTTTGTTGTCGGTCTATCTGTGTCGGATTGAAATATCGGTGGCGCCGTGGGAAAGGGATCACCGGTACGCCGTTGGCTCCATTATCGGTAAGTGTCGATTTCGTTCTCGTGGCTCTCAGAAACTCGCTTTCGGATACCAATGATTATGCTGATCCTCATACATTTTCTCAGAGCCACCCTCTATCTATTTCCATCTATATTTATTCATTAATTTATGGGTTACTCATAATAAGCACAAGAGTTGCCAATAATAAAATAACTTTCCATTTTTTTTTTTAATCAACAAATCACAATAATAATCTTAATGATTAAATTAAATAAAATGACAATGTCATTTTCGCATAATTTCCACTCGACTAATGCCGAGGATTGACATTGGGTTTTTCGTGGCATTACCGATGTCCTTGATTAACCACAAGTCACCTCGATGTCAACGGTACAACACACAATATATAATAATAATAATAATAATAATAATAATAATTATTATTATTATTATTATGAATATCTACAACGTATTTACTCAACGTCATATTGTTTTCGTTATCTGTTTACATCAATATATTATTTCACTCCGAATACACTCGATGTCACGGTTTATTTATTTATTTAAATTTATTATAGGGTATTGTATTCTGGTTATTATAAACCTTATCCAGTTACATTAACAGGCATGCTATAGGTGGTATGTATCGGTATGCTCAAATGTAATTACTGTGGCCAATAGTACACCCATTTTCTTTGGCAGCTCCGTATGCTCTGAACTAGGATAGTATCGAATATATGTATAATAACTTTCACTGGCGTGCCAAAGTGTTATGAAACGATGTTAATGTCGATTGTCACTGTGTGTTCAGCAGTCTGCTGTGTGTTCATATGTCCAAGGCATACCAGCTAACTCGGAAATAAATGATACGATATATATTTATATAATAAAAATACCTCACTGATATACATACTTAGTGTATTATTTTAATATAAAATACTAAGTATGTTGAGAGAATAGAGGACGGGCTGTTCATTAAGCTACCGATTGCGAATGAGGTATAAAAGCGAGAGGATAGGAATAGATGGAATGCAAGTCGGTGTATGAGATTTTATCAGTAATGTCAAGCGCCCTTCGAGAGACCGATCTAAAGGCGGTATATCGTCGATTGCAAAGTAAAGAGTAAAGAGGAGCAACTAAACCGAGTAGTATAGAGTATAGAGTAAGAGGGTCCAGTCTACTGTCTTCTCTTGGTGGTGAGACCCCAAGGAATTTACTCTCCCGCCCTTATTCTCTCATTCTCTTATTTATTATCTTATTTTTATAAATAATAAACAGCAATTCGGCAAAGGGCAAAGGGAATTAAATAACTAAACTACTCCAGCATCCTCCTACCGTTACCTCAAAAATTAGGTCTCAGACAATGAGTAATTAGTAGTCTTCTTTTCCCGGCATCCGGACTTTCTTATCTGGTATCTTCTATCTTGAATCTTAAATCTTAAACTTGGTGTCTGGTAGCTAAATAAAACTAAACTGGTGACTACTCATCGAGCATTATTATAATGACGGGTAATGCAACGTGACTTTCCAACTTATTCTTTAATCTCTCTACTTGCAAAGTAAAGCCTAAGTACACTAATACTCTGCGTAAACAAAACATCTGGCTCTCTCTATCCAAGAAAATTTAAAAAGTCGCTTTGCTTAACTTAAATGCCAACTCATTTAATTTCTCATACCAATTTCCATTGTTGTAATGGCTCTTTTATACATACATATATATCTTAATAATCTAAGTACATTCTTAACTTAACTTAAAAATTTTTTCACACGACTTCATTTCCCTTTATAACAAATACCTTTAACTTAACTTGGCTAGTTATCTTTTTTATCGTAAATTAAATGACAATATAATGCGCTCTAAATTACTCATACTCATAAAGTATTTCTATATTTTTTTTTTATGTTATTTAGTAAAACAAATTACCGGTGGAGAAAAATAAAATTACTCGTTGCAACACCCAAATTAACAGTGACCTCTCCCTTGGAACAATTACATATTTAGTTTTTATCTTTATTTTCTCTTTATTATGTCTGCTACTCAAGGATAAATATAACAAACCAGTTTTCTAATTGATTGATCTATCTTCTGTATAATAATATAATAATATAATAATGTAATATAAAATAATAATAAAAGTCTGGTGTTAGTGTCAATATTACAGTAGGAATCGCCGTAAAAACGGGAAATTAGCTAGCTTATAGCGCGGTTAATAATTAAGTGTTTCTCGCGGGTAGAAATCGAATAATCGTGGCATGAATAACAAGAAAACATTGAAATAAAAGGTATATAAGCGTAAATAAAAGCAGTATGGCACTTTCCAACCTTTTTTAGCCGCGGTATGCTGGAGCAAGTGCAAAAAACCCGGTTCGCGATGCGATTTCGCACGCATTCACCTAATATACAATATACACCGGTGAATCGACACTGTATCAACCGTAGTACGTATTCAGTAGGTACACAGACCGTTACCTTTATTATTCGCTGCATTCTGCATTCATAAATCCATATATTAAGTAGAATATAATAAAATAAATCATTAAATACACGCCTGGTATTTCATTTATTTATTTATTTATTTACAGTGGTAGTAAGTGTGAATAAAATATCTTTTCGCGGATAGCGAGTAGTTTTCTCGCGAGTACACGTGTGTGCCGATACGTGAAGCAGTACGGGCTGTACGCCCTATTTACACCGGATCTCTTTTTAGAAACAATTTATTCCTTAGACATCATAACAAGTAATTCAATAAATAAATCGAGGATCTTAGATCTTAAATTACGGGAATCGTTTAGGCGTGTTCGTAGTTTCAAGGCTCCTGTTCGAGCTAATCGATTTTTGATGATTAATAAAGTACTTTAAGTGGAGTTTATAGTCGTTATGGTAACCTATACCGTCCATGTATATTTATGTGTAATTTGTCCTCCGGTTAATAACAATAATAATGGTTAAATACATGCCTGTTCTAAGTGAGCTAAAGGTGGAGAGAGTATCGCCAATCCTAAAGTGTCAAGTGATGCAGACAGGTAGTAAAGATATCTTTTAGTTTTTTTTTTTTTGTTTATTTTACATTTGAAAATTAATTTTTTATACAAATTGATTTAAATTAAGATAAAAATTCTGGGTAAAAAATTTATTTATTTAACTTTATAAAATTAATTTTTTTACATGAATTATTTGAACTAATATTTATAATAAAAAAAATTTATTGATAAAAATTGAAATTAAAATTCAGAGTTGAATATTGAACTTGTAATAATATTATTAAATTATTTATTTATTTATCATTTGAAAATTAATTTTTCACATGAATTTTATTCCAATTTAAAATAAAATTTTTTTTAAGTAAAAAAATTGTTTGATAAAATAAAATATAAAAATTTCGGGTAAAACATTAAAGTTAAAAAAATTTTTATCAATTTATTTACTAAGTATGTATATAGAAATATATTAGTAGTATTATATTGACTATCGCAGTCGACTAGACGTGAAAGCGGCTTCCAAGTACCAAGCTCCTTTCCTGAGTCATAAAAATTACGCATTGTGTTTGGTTGCCAGCGGAAAGATGCTCTTATAGTATATGCTGGTACCATTCGGTACTACACCATTGTTCTTTTACCAACTATCCAGTTTTAAAAGATCTATGCAGCTATTTCCCTTCTCCAAAGCAGAACTTACCTCCAGCTTTTGCTTCGTCTTGCAAACTCCTATCCGATACGAGCTAAGCCGCAGTATCTATATCTATATCTGCTCTTACTCTACACAACACAACCAAATACCTGGAAAATCTCGGGGATACTTTTATTATCCGGGTTTGATTCATCAGCCACACAATGAGCCCCAACTCCCCAACTCATCTGTTAACTCCTACACCAGACTCCTATCCCACCATCTAATCTCACCAACTAAACAGCCTTTATTCTCCTCTTTCTTAAAGTTATATAATTATATGTCGAATGCCGATTTAACGGATGTTATTAAATGTCAAGTGTCTATCGATGGCTTCAGTAATATCCTGTACGTGTTTTATCGATCGTTTACACTTTACACTCCTGTACGGTACCCCATATGACTAACAGTTTATTTTACCCGGAATATAAATTTATAACTGTCCAAAAATCTAAAGGCAATAATAGCAAGCTCGGGTATATATTCCCACCTGACAATAATAAATATTTCATCGACACTCTACGTCTATATCCGTGTCGATTGCTGTAAATTATCAGTTCAGAAATTCATGATTGATTATTAACATGAATTACGCTACTTTCCCTCCGCGTTTTTAATAAAATACGGTAAAAATATTGAATTTATTCAATGTTATGTAATGATAATTAATAACATTCAATTTTTGCTGGAAAGTTATTCCTAAAACATATAAAAATATATCATTAAGTAATTATTTACTTAGTCTCTTTAATATTTTACTCAGAATTTTAAATTAAATACTGATAAAAGAGCTTTTTAACTTTTAATAAATCATTTTCAATAAATTTTTCAATTTTTAATAAATATTTCTTGGGAATAAAACTCTTTGCAAATAATTTTATATTAAAATATTAAAACTCTTAACCTGAAGTTGTGCCTTTTCAAGGTTTCATATCATTTTCACCAATAGTCAATTAATGATGATAATTATTTAGGCTGCATTTGAAAATGCTCTATCTCTAGATACATAATTAAGAAATGACCTTATATCTAGTGAACTATTGACATTTTTAAAGATATAAGCTCATCCCGATGTTACACTCATCAAGACCTTTCATTTAAGTACCCACATCAATTTTTCATAATATATTTATATATATTATATATATGTATACATGAAAAATATATCAAAATGCATATGGGTACTCAAATGAAAGCTCTTGATGAGTGTAACATTTTGGGATGAACTTATATCTTTAAAAACGTCAGTAGTTATAAAAGTACAGTGCAATTTAACGAAAGTCATTATTCTATGAAGCAAAATTTTAATTCTTTATAGTTCACAAGTCACGACAGTTACATATAGTGACTGCAAGATTGCTATTAATATATTAACAGTCAATAAAGTTCATTAAATATTAAAAAATCTCCATCCTAATTTTTACTACTCTCAACTTTTAAAACTTTAAAATAAAAAATTATCGCAATTTTCTTCCTAGCAATTACTAAAAATGAAACTCCTCAGAATGTGTTCGTGCTAGATAAAATAGTACATAAAAGAGCATACCAGTTATTAAACGGCAATCC